GTTACAGATGGATGGACAGGCCAAAGATCTGTCAAAGACGGCCGATACCATAGATCTACTACAGACTGACGGACATACCATAGGCGAGTTACAGATGGATGGACAGACCATAGATCTGTCAGAGACGGCCGATACCATAGATCTACTACAGACAGACGGACATACCATAGACGAGTTACAGATGGATGGACAGACCAGATCTGTTACAGACGGATGCACCATAGATCTATTACAGATAGATGGACAGACCCTAGAACTGATCAACAAGTATCATTGAACTTTTCAGCCAATACCATAAATCTGTCACAAACAGACAGACACGCCATCGTCGAATCACAGATGGATGGACATACCATGTTACTATTACGCCGATACCACAGATCTCTTACAGACAGATGTATGGACAAACCATTGATCTGGGATAGCGTGATGAATTGCAGATTGTTTAGCAACTTTAAACTATTGGATGTGTTGCACAGCAACAGATACGATACCATAGATAATTCAAATAAATTATTTCCAAAAACAAAACTGTACCGCAAATATTCTCATCTCGCTATTCAGAAACGAGCAACATCTGGATGGCATATAACATTTCACTGCATATCTTCATCCAAGGTTGTTATTCAGGCTGTTCAAAAATCCTGTGTCACGTTAACTTCATTACTGGCATTTCTGTGGAGCTCATCTCGAATTCAGATATTATTTTTAATTAAAAGTTTGCCAATATTTAATTAAGTTAAATATGTCCCACTTTAAGGTTTTTGATCATACAATTGATCGGTTCATGTTATCAACACAACAGAAATGTCAGCAATGAACTCCACAAGTTACCAATGTACACGTACAGCAAAGCCTGTAGCACCGATTTGTGTATATTTATAATTTCTATTTAAAATAAAACCCAATTTGAAGTTAATGTGCATTTCAGGCTTTACTCCACAGTGTCCAAATATATAAGTTTCCAAGGCATAACAAAGCATTGATGTATTATAGGTAGAATTTTAATTGCAGAAAAATAAAACTTTTACATATTTATAAATTTCTTTTCCGATTTCTCACCAAATATAATAGTATACTGGTCTTCTCTCGAAGTACCATCAAAATAAAAAATCTCTGTATTTATAACCTGAACACTCCTCCCTCCCTGTTGGCTTGGACAAGCCCGCCTACCATGCCCCTTTCTCCCTCGCTCTCAGCCACTCACTGAACTGTCGGTAAATAATATTAAAATAGAAAATACTAAACTATGAAATGTACGACAAATTATTTCAAATCGATAAGATTCAATTTTATACAAATTATATATATACTTTTGTCTTGAAAGCATCAACATTTGCACCTTTTCCATTTTGGAAAATTTTTCATCAACTTGCATACATAATATTGGCATAATGTCATTCTAACTTATAAACTCAGTATCTAACCAATCACAACAAACCCTTTCTGGGCAATAAAGATTTTAACTTCTTTGTAAGTCATAATATACTGTAGAGTAAAATAAAGTTATTCATTGTGGACTATAAAATACTTTTGACAGTGGGATAAAATATAATTGAAAAAAAAAAAGGAAAACAATCTCATTAATATCAACATAACCAACAAAATTAAAGAAAAGTGTTTGCATATTTAGAATACAGATCTCACCAGTATTTCAATATGGATATAAAACTGCCGAGCTATAGCTTCCCTTCCATCAATCATTTTAAATACAGTTACACCGATTCAAAAAGTTGAATTAAAACTATTAAATCTAAATCAAACGTGGATTTTTGGTTATTTTAAATGTAAAACATGGTTATTACTGACTTGAAAGAGTACAAATGAACTAATTTGAATGTCATAATTTAAAATATATATGAAAGAAGTTCAATAACCTCTAGCCACTATTTTGACTCCTCAATGTACCTTTTTTCCTAGACCATCCGACTTAACATATGCACACAAACTACATGGTCTATTGCTTGGCCATATATATTAAAATAAAAAAAAGTTTCCACAAAATAGTAGGATTCTAAATATTGCTTGATCCAACCATGGTTTGAAACAATGTCTTTATCATTTTTAATGTAAAAATGACTGGACTTTTCGTTTACTTTGTAAATAACCTTTCGGGAAACGAATGTATTTTCATAACATGGCCAAAACAAATGTCCCTTAGCCACCAAATGTTGAACAGCAACTTGCACTGTATTTGGCTCCTAGCTTTCTAGGTCATGGTGACCTTCAACACAATATGATGTCATTGTGACCTGATCTCTATACAGCATCCTTCCTCTTACATTCGAGGTCACAGTGACCTACTTTCAAGTCTGGCATTACCTTCCCTGATACACATCAACATATACACTACATTTTTCGAACGCAATACGTTGTAAATTTCTTCTCAGCTTTAATATCAAAACTAAATGCAAAAATTAACATCAATTCTTGATGCCAACAATCATATTGGAAGCAACATCTACAAATTTGTCACTCTTTTTTTCAAAAAGTATAGACAAAAAATACATTATGCAAATAAAATAATCTTTGGAAAAAGGTTAATTAAATAGTCGATGCATCAATACATGTTTGATCGGGTACATAACAAGAAATCAGAACAAATCATAACAGTACAATTTTGTTTCTCAATACGACTAGAACTCTTTGAATGAAAAAAAAGATTAAGTTGCATAGAAATTGTGCCGTTGCTAGATAAGAGCAAGAAAATGATACAGGAAAACTATTGGCTATAGCTATTTATCCTCAATTCTGAAATATTGTTTGAAAATGAAATACCACAAGGCTGAACATAGATACCTGTGTTTCTGGTAACATAATAGGGACTTGGGATAGGTACTTATTATGGTTGATAGTTGATCTTTTTTGTTCATTATGATTAAAACATTTGAATTTTTTTCGCCACAAGTAAGATTTGGTAGGTATCCCTACATATAAATTTCTTATCAAAAACTGACAAATTTTCTTTAGGAAAGGTGACTAAAGGTAGAGTATTATAGCGGGTACCAGGAAAATTATCATATATTTATTGGCAAGGTTACCAGAAACACATGAACAGTCCAAACCTAACAGGATATATATGAATTCACCAACTACTGAATAAATGATTAACACAGTATGAGCCCAGTACAATTTACAAATATATAAGTTGGAATTTACGATTGCATAGGTGCCAAATTTCTGTCAAAAATTGTGCCCCGGGTTTCCATGTCCACTTTCATTTTCAAGTATCTTTGTATCCTAGTTTCATTTTCTATATATAATCTTGGTTTTCACATCCAGAGATGGTTACTTCATTTCAAATGGATTTCTACAGACCGATTTAGACATTACGCAAGTCAGCTGACTTGTAATGACTTACACCGAGTAAACTTGAACATTTCATTCCCCTGGAAAGTTACATAAGTTACTAATGGGTTATCATATTCAACCCAACAGGTCTACAATAGTTGACCTGGTGACGGTTTTGGAAGACATTCTACATAAATCTGGTAGCTCTACTTCCTCTCGGTGTTACATTGTTTTAACATTCACTTCTGGTGAAGAAACCTTGATTGGGTTTGCAAAAAAAAAATCTTTTCTTTGAGTGCAAATATACATATATATAATATAGGTTTATATTTCCTCGCGACGTTGACATGTATTTCTCAATCCCTTCACAAAACTGGTAGCAAAAATAACTTGCAAATGTATTTGATTCGACTGCACTAATATTGTGAGTAATATATAATTATTATTAATATATATAATCTGATGTGCACCAGCACAATGTAATGCATGCAAATATATGCATATAATTTGCATACATGTTTATATAAATGCAAAATAAACGGGACTATCAACCTTGACAACAAACAGTTGTGTGTGGGGGGGAAAATAATGGCAACAAAAAAAAATCATTTCTAACAATGAACTGTTCTCTCAACACACCAATATTGGAGGATTGCTACAAACTAGATCATATGCAAGTTATTTAATAAAAAAAAGTTTTTCCTGAAAACATTTATTTTACCAATTTACACATTTATGCATTGAGCAGGAGTTTGTCACTGGCAATTTTAGAAAATTAAAACATATTCATGGATCTCTTAAAAAAATATTTCAAGCTTTCAAATCTTGGTCAGTTTATATCAAGATTCAGACAAAGTCCTGCTTATCTGTATTTTGTACGAGTCTGTTCAACATGCAATATATATGCAAACATTTATTACAGGGCATAAATTACATAAGACTATTAACATGGTCCCAGTAGGTGTCACTTTGGCATTAGTTATAGGGTACTAATACAGATACAACATCCAGCCCCTCCCCCTACCCTACATACCACTGGATCTTAAACATTTATATTAATTACTCAAAATCAACTGCATCCCAAAACTGCCCTCTTGCCCTTCACTATCGATCAATATTAAACTTTAATATCATTCGCCAAAATATCATCTTCCCTTGCTTAGAAATGAACACTACAGAATAATGATTTACATCAAGTCATGGTTGCAATATCCCTGCAATATTTACTTTCATCTTGTTTAATTAGTTTTCAAGTTTAATTAATTGGAAATCAATTAATTAATTAATTAGCACAAATGATTTGATCAAAACGTTTATAATGATTTAAGTGGCATTTATTGAATGACTTGCATTTTTTCATAATAGTTCAATTTAATAGACTATGTAAATGAATCAATAAAATGTATTCCAATGTAGTAGTATATTTACGTGTATATATTATATAGATAATAGGCTCAACTACAGATTACTAATTTAGCCATCAAAATCCCCCAGTGGCTGAACATAGTACATAAACAAACATACAAGAGTCCTATTACAACATAGAATAAAGCTCAGACCAGCTAGGCGTTGGCCTTACATGTCATTAAACAACAAAGCTTGATACGGTCATCAAGTCACTGTATAGTCACATAATGGGGAAAATGCACATTGAATTCCAAGAATAAAATACTCTGATAAATTTATGATACAAATATTAATAATACTTCTTTGCATGGATATCATTTATGAAGATCTATATTTGTTATAATAATAGTCAAATTAAAAAAATCTTTAAAAAAAAAAAGTAAAAACAATGTTGCACAGCTATATTAAGGAATACTCGATAATAATAGACACACATTGTACACAACATGAAAACAAAGATATTTGTATACATACTGGTGGCCATATAACTCATAAACTGTTTCAAGTACAATAATAATAATAATAATCTCATAAAAACAATATTTAATAATATATTAATGGTGAAAATGATGTCTTTGATATACAAGATGAGATTTCTGTTAAAACATTCTGTGAAAAGTCTATAATTATATATTCCATATTTTATATATATAATAATAATATATAGTAGAACAACTTGAAATGATAATAGAGCAATTCCTGAATGTAGGATAAGATTTTGAATTGATAATCACCTATGTATATATCTATTTATATATATTACACATCCTGCCGTTTAGGAGAAGATGCGGATGGCCTGAGTCGGTGCTTGCTGGCAGACAGGACAGCTCCGCTCCAACTGGGGTTTCTCAACGATCAGGTTTGCACACTCCATGCAGAACAGGTTATGGCCACACGGCACTAGAGCCGCCACAATATCGCTCTCCGAGCACATGAAGCACTGCCTCCTTGGGCGGCCGTTCAAGGTGGGTACCGAAACTGGGCAGGTAATTCCGCCATTCCTGGCCAGGGACACATCCACCACCGAGGCGATGGGGGGCACGGTCAGAGTGCTAGTACAGGAAATGACCGGTGCATCCTCACTCGAGGTAGGCGTGAACGTTGTGCTTGGGGTGGCTCCAAACATTGTCGTTGTCACACTGGCGAGGGGATCGCTTCTGATTCTACGCACAAGGGCATGGTCACTTGGAGGTGAGGGAGACGACCTGTCAGACCCGGACCCAATGCCACTGTGTGGAGGTGACGGCGAGTCAGTTAGGGTGGGGGAGAGTCGATGACCACCATTGAGACTGCTGCTGCGCCGCGGCATGTTGGTGGAGGTGGAAGTGGTACTGAACAGGGAGACTAGAGTTGAGTTGCGATTGTCATTGTACTCCCCCCACATGTAGGAAGGAGGTAGGATGGGATCAAATGATGGCGAGCCACCAATCCCTTCGTCGTTGTCGTACATGTTAAAGCCATTGAAACCATTGCCAAATCCATTTCCATTGGAAGCAAATTCTGAGATTTTTGCGGAAGTGTTCACCGGCGGGAAACTAAAAATATTGGCGTCTTGAGGTGGACAACTGCCGTTCAGGGCATTGTGCATATTGTTGAAAGCACATGTCCCATTCACTCCATTCGGCGATTTGTTATATCCATTGAACTCACCACCACTTCCATTCAACTCGTGGAAGCCTGAATCGACACCATTGCTGCGAAAATCATCCTCGTTCTGTGAATCCATAAGTCCTCCTGTTCGGAGAGCAATGTGACTTTCAATCTCCTGTCTAGCCTTCTCCACATTCTCGGTAAGTCCAGTGACCTCAAACACTGGTTCCTTGTCACGACTTGGCGTGACAATGTATGTGTGCGTTTGCTGTTGGATTCGTTTGATAGTGGCTCCCTTAGGACCAACAACAAGACCCACAACTCTGTATGGAACACGCACCTGAATTGTCACCTGTCCAGGAGCATTGGGACTTGGGGGGCCTGTGGTCAGGGTTGTGCCATTGGTAGGGGTGGTTGTTGATGAAACTGAAGAAACGCTGCTATTACGCCTAGAAGCACGAATTTGGCTGAAATGTTCGGCTGCGGACAGGATTTCTCTCTTAGCGGCATTCACATCCTCTTTTCTACCGGTAACTACGAAAACTGGTTCCTCTCCTCGAACAGGGGTTTTGATGTATGTATTGGTTTTGGCTCTCAGTGCCTTAATTTTGCATCCTGAAAATACAAAATAAATTGTTATTTAACTAAAAGCAAAGTTTTTTCTCATGCACTACTTTTATTATGGATTTATAAATTTCGTCACAGTTAATGCTAACAGGTTGGGTCGAGACGGGTACCAATTGATTACATACGAAGAATGACGTAAAATAATTTGGGGTCCTTGCATTTTTTGGCATTATTTTACATGAATATGGCACAGTCAAATACCACTTCCCTTAGGAAAATAAAAATGTACTAAATTTAATCTAATTTCATTATCAATTAAACTTATAACACAAATAAGGAAGTATTTCCAAGATATTTAGTTAATATTACTATCCTGATCTTCCTTATAAATACACTACACACGTGTATGTAGGTCAGTGGAATATTGCTATATTTTACGGTCTGACTGAGCAAATAAACCAGTGTTGCCCGCTTTATGACAGCAGTATAATGTCACTTGCTGGCTTAATTTTAAGTCCACATTACACATCATCAACAGATTTAGGCAGAAATCCAAAAATACTCTGAATAATTCAGCTCACATAAAACATGGGATAATATCTCATGATAACGTTGCAAGATATGAATTGTCCTCTAGTAATTTTCTTCTGACATCTGATAAACTAAGTGTCTACCTAAATGTACCTGTATCATATTGAAGTAGTATCATTTGGGCTGTTCCAGATAAATGTTGTGTACTAGACTACCTGACATAAGATTCTGGTATTAACGTGTGTTTAAATATTCATGAATAATATTTGTTATATTTAGACCAGTGGTCTACAACCTGGACTATAGCTAGAGGTGATAAAGATAAACACACTGCCAAGAACTAGGTCTGTCTTCACCATAATCTACATGCTTATAAAGTCAAGAAGTCGGTGGCTAAGTAATAAAACTCACTGAAGTTTTTTTTTCTTATTCAAAATGTTTCTATGCTTAAACACGAGGTCATGCATATTCGATTTGAGTGAGGTATGGCGCTAACAAAGAGAACTAACTTTTTTATTTTATACTAAAATCACTGTACCTTCATTCTTTCTCCAACAATAATTTAAAATCGTTTCAAAGTCATATTAGACATAAATCCATGGTATTACTTTCTAAATAAATTCAAATTACCCTGCTTAAATCATAAACCGCAAGATTCAAAGGTATGTTTGTTTACTTCTCAAGACGAAATATTTCAAGTGTTTCCCTGACCTCGTCGATCTAGAGGTAGTGTAAAATTTTGTGAATGGGTGAAGGACCACGTGGTTTCTTTGTTTATGATCCAGCGGGGTATTTCAAGTGCACACTGGCAGTGTGTCTACCCCGAACACGTGGTTACTGAACCTCGTGTAAAACTCCAGACATGCACGGTGTCATGTCTGGGGGGATTTCAGGCTTACAAAGAACACATAGTTAAAACTGGTTTTGCTGTTGAAAAACAGTTAACAATGTTTCATTGTCAAAACTACCTACATCGATTTGTCAACATAGCGGTTTATAAGTAACAACAAAGTAGACTGCTCCATGATGGTTATTCACGTTACGAGATATCTATATATATCAGCCACGTGAGCAATACACTGGTCATGGCTATGTCTGTGTATTACGACACTCTCTTGCTACTAACACAGCAGCCTTAAAATGGAAAATGAGCTATGAATGCGAGAGAACGGTTCTAAACAAAACAACCTACCCTGTCGTCCGACGATTTCGGCCACGTGCTCCGAACTCGGTACGGGTACACACTCCGTCATGTTAGCACTACCTCTTTTCCTTGCAGCATCCAAATCCATCCCGGATGACGAAGACGAACTGTTCCCGACAGAACCATTCTCCTCTTCGGTACCGTTCAACCCCATCATCGAGAGTTCGAAGGCTAACTGCAGTGCGCGCTGTTCCTCGTAGCTCGCACTTGGATTCATCTCATTGTACAGGCTAGCTGGCATCGTTGACAATTTGGAGTTCGAACACTAGAATGTACAAAAATAAAGATTTCATATAAACTCCTTGGTTCACATAAGTTCCCTTTGTTAGGGCAGCACTTCGCTGCTCAATGCGCGGCACTCTCCGTTACACTGTCTGTTATTCTCACAATGCACAAAAGCAATATGGCCTGGGTGACGTCATCTTCCCAAGATTCCGCGGCATTTCTTGGCCTGCTTCCCTGCGCCCATTGGCTGTGTATCACTCAATGGGCGGGGCGTCAACTTTGACCCAGCCTGGCTGCGAAGCATGGCAAAACATTGATGTTTTTATTGCAGATGTCTTGTTATACACAAGAGAGATTTAGGAAATGAAATTATTTGGTGGAAATGGAAGAATGGATTATTTAGCCTTACATCAGTGTTAGTTTATAAACACGACAGAAGAATTTGACCATATTGCTTATAGTTATTTTTTCGCTCGTTGTTTTTGTTGATATTATTCGTTGTAATTTTAGGATAAATAACGGACACAAATAAAATTGTTCTATTATCTGTTAAGATAATTAAAAAGACGCTTCCTTTGTTCGTAGATGTGTTTACATTGGAAACAACACCACCCTGTGCCGGATACAATTTTTATTAACTACGAAAGGTATTCTTTATCTACAGTGGGCATTTAATAAAACTTTATAGTAGACGTGGGGTCCGGTAAGGTTTGGCTTTAATAAAGATACAGTAAAAAATATAGGAAGTTTCTCCTTGATAATGCGTGTTTCGTGCTGCATTAGTTGGCTTGTGAGTTACGGAACATGCAATGGTCCTCTCTAATTGCCCCGACCAGGTCCAGAGGGGACTGGACTGACCCTCATTGACCCAAGACGAGTATTGCCTTGATTATATTGAGTTAGGAATATCGTGATTTGGAGTAATTCACAGGACTGGCCATAAAATACGTTGAAATAAAGGACGCTTGTGCGTATCTACGCTTAAATGGCAGGTCGACTTTCCATCAAATAAAAATTTGCCTACCTCACGAAACAGAGTATTCCTTGTTGCTAAAATATAGATTAGTGATTGAAAAAAAAAATGGAAATAAATTTTAATTTTGATTTGCCTGTATTCCATTTACATAGTTCTATATATGATCAACATGAAAATCCACCTTCGCTCGCCCATGTGTAATGGAATACAGTTGAATTCTGAAATTATTATACAACTCTAGAATTGTGGACAAAGCTAGCTAGAAATCAACGACGATCAATTAATTATGGGTTCATTTGCATAAAGTCCAAGTGATACATAATCACAGATGGTGGTCGATGTCTGTTGTTTGTTTACACTAACAGGGCCACTAAACATATCAATCACCCGTCCATTAAACCTTATCTCGTAGGATGACCTGTCCATAGTAGTACACCCGGGAGACCCGCCTCTAATGACCTGTTGACCCCGGGGTTCCTCTCCCTTTGGAGTCAAAATGACATCACTCACTACAGGGAGTAATCGTACGCAGGTTCATATGTGCGAAGTTAATTGCGAAGTTAATTGGTGGGTATAATACATCAGTTTATAGGAGTAATTAAGGTTTCCTGTCCCGTGGCCATGGGTGCCGTCCCAAACACAAGCACAATAGTATAAATAAGACATTGTTGTTGTATAAATAGAAAAGGAAATAGATACGGAAACTGACACCCCAAGTACCGTACGGAGTCACAGAACCCCTTTGTTTGATACCATTAAAGCTTTATCTGGGCTAGTCCAGGTATATCCCACCTGGTACATACCTTCAACGGTTACCTACACAGGTATACATTATACATAAAATATTTACAACCTTAAATCAATGTTCGCTTTATTCCAATGCTTGTGTTTTTTCCCTACTCAAACTCAATCCTACCTTTTTTATTCAATATAAAACACGTTAATAGCGAATTCGTGGCTGTATCAATCAGGCTATGATAAAGGAAAAGCTGGTTAAACCATGACAGATAGGTAAAACAGCGCGTGCAGTGTATACCTACATCCGTTCCCATGATTTGTGTTGTGTAATATGTTGCGAAATTGAGCCAATTACTTATCTATAAAAAAGTTTTACATATGTTTAGGAGAGGAAATGTTTTAGAACGCTAGGAGAACAGACAACGGTGTGAAATGACATCATTCTAGCCTTGAAATGCACCCTACAGGTCGAGGTGGAGAATTCTCGTTATCAGTCAATACACTCATTACTCTTAAAACTAACCATCACGAGCTTGATAACTGTTAGAATCAAATTGTGGAGTGGAAAAAAAAGCAAATTGCTAATTATTTGTAGGTCTTAATCCCCTTAGATATTAGTATACACAGGTTTCGTACAAATTAGCAGCAAAAATCAATGATAGATAGTTAATCTTACCAATATGTGCCTGTCGCCAGCCATCTAGAGCATAATCCTGGTACTTAATATACACCAATCACGAGGACTGGTCAGACTAGGCCAGTTATCGGGCGCAATAAACGAGCGCACCTGCACTAATCCGCGCGCAGGCTAATTAACGGGTCTAAATAGCACTATCGCTTTATAGCATTATCTAATTTCTATTGATCTTTCGTATCACACTACACAGGTATTGATCCTAAAATATAAACAGCTCATCAACGTGCACACATCGACTGATACAGACGGCTTTTAATAAATCTTCATATTTACTCCATAAACATTTTTTTCCGAATCCTCAATGGTGTAGGCGCAGATATGTTATATAATACTGACACTTGTCCGAGACCAACACGCAAGCATCCCTGTGGTAACACAGGTACCGAATGTCCATCTATAATTCACTGTTTATATAGCCATGTGACTTGTTACGTTGTGTGTACATATAACTCTGATACATCATCCACAAAGTACGTAATTAATTAACGGCCTTACCTTTAAAAACGGTGCAACCTCGAACAACATGTTGGCTTGGTGTAAATAGACGATATGAGCGTAAATTATCCACGAGGGTAGATGTCATCAAGACTGGATATGTGACCTCTTGGTTTGGTGTGTGTGACCTTTGCTGTGTATGGCAGAAGTGTGTTTGAGGTGAGTTGGTCGGGTAACTATATATATAGTCCAACAGACCGTCTCATCATCACACCTGTGCTGACACGGTAACGACAGGAAACAGAATAAAGGTACAGGTGTGATGATGATACTTAACTACTCCAATCAGTGTCCATCCTCAGGTGATTACAGCTGATTACTGACAAATCACACCCAACCATGCCCCGGGGCTCATCTTAATCCACTCCCCGCACCCCCGGAACAATTGGAGGTGTCGTGGCCAATAGGGCTCTATTTACTAGCCTGTTGACTGTCTCTTAGTGCTAAACCAACACACAGCGCCCTTATCCAGGGGATTTTTTAAGAAGCTTCCATAACATTTGAATCTGTTTGATTGCATTTCCGCTTTGAAGTGTGATAAAGTAAGTAGGTAGATGTGTTTTCTGTGATTAGTATACAAACATCATAAGTCCTTCCATTTCCCGTAAGAAATTGGACATAAAGACCAAGTCGAAAGACACAAGATAACGTGTTTATTGATGTACATTGCAAACATAATGATTATTTACACCAATCCTGTGGGAGAGGAGGGGGTTTATCAGATACGAATAGGTAAATCAATGGTTTATAAATGTATTGATATAGACACGGACTTCAATAGCAGTTACTAATTCCGGTATATAGGTTTTTACTACAAATAGCATGACTTACACCAATAAACAGGACGAAATGGACATGATCTCTGTGGTTTAATATGTTTATCAGAAAGGCACCAGACCAGCTTAAGCATCGTAATGGTCATAAATATGTCAACATCGATGTTAAAATGAAGAAATTTTGAAAATATCTTGCCAGAGACGACTTGAGATATATCTATTTTTTAATTTTAAGATATGAAGGAATGTTTGATATAATTTTAATTTCGTACCAACAGCTTGATACAGTTTTTTTTACACTTTAATTCTGTCTATACAGATATATAAATAATTTCACATTTATTAGACATCGTCAGAACTTGTATGTTTCATTTTCAGTTTTGAAAATAATTAAGAAGTATAACAAATTCTGTTTATTCTTTTCTTCTCCATATCTTGTTCATCAGTTATGTGTAAGGTTTTCGCGTTTCCCCCTGTTGACACTATATGTTGTACAAACAATCAGTTTCTTCATACAAATTGTATTATATCACAATAACTTTAAACTGAGATATGAATTATCTATATATGTACAATTCCACCAAAGAGATGATATAAAAATCCCACGTTTGAAAATAAAATTACCACACTTGTTCTCATTAAAAAGCAATTTTAGCTGATTAATATGGAAATATAATTATAGATATCGAAGTTGTCCCGCGGATTACTTAATAACTTATTAATTAATGAGCGAGCGGCTATTTTTGTCTCTGATTCACATATTTTCTTTTTGTGTTATTATCTTGATTATGACGCAAAGGAATGGACGTGTTAATTATGAACCTCAATCGCGCGCGCGGGTGTGAGGTCTGGCATGTGTATACTACAGATCGATATAGGAAATCTATAATTTATTGGCGTTATATAAAGTTATAGATCACTCAGCGGAGTGTAGGTAATACACAGATTACCGACTCCCCGGGTCGATAGATCGTTAAATAATGTATCCATATTACACACTGCTGTAGACCCGTCTCCTCATTGTGCGGTTACCTATCATCGTTATTGTATACCAAAACCAATTATGTCTAAACAGGTGTCGCATAATATACAGAAAACGACATCAAAATCATCAACTGATAGCAGATATACTTATAAATTATGTTTAATGGCAAAAAAACCTAGATTGATGGAGTGTTTTGATATTTTTCTCGAATTATTTTCAAAGTGTTTCGATAGGGATCACAATTTGAGATTCATAATTATTTTATTTAGTTCACACGTCCAACATTTGCAATCTTGAATAGCAAAAATGATATGTTTATCTGATATATAACGCAGACCTAGGTGGCGTTTTAATTTTATTTAGAATCTGTTTCTTTGCTATACAACTAAGTTCACTTTGTACCAAGCACGTGTAGCGTTGTACAGCTGACTCAGGTACACTGATAGGTCACACAGGTAGGCTGACTTTTTATCCAATTATGTTACTTTAACATCTTCTTTGTACTGCCTGTAACAAAAGACAGGTTACAAAGTTTCCCGCCAGAAGCCTTCGAGTGTCGTCTGCTGCTCCACCTGTGGCGGCTGGTGGTCACGGGACTCTCGACAGATGGGTCGGTATGTCCTGCTGGACCACAAAGCATAGTCATCTTTACCATCAGAAATATTACTGAATACATATTCATCAATATAAACCACACACCTTAATCGTCGATAATTTCCATTAATAAAATTGAAGACTGACCTTCTGATATGAAAACATGATAGGACAAAGTCAGAAGATCGTGAAAGAACTATTGCCACGGTAAAGGTACCATGAGGAAGAACTACTGAAAAAATGCCCTGTCAATGGAGCGTCTGATTGGACTGTCCGCCCCTAGTAGCTACCTGCGTTTTCAGGACGGAGTCAGTATTGTTGACCAGTAAACAAAAGTCTTAACCACAATAGGGCCTGTTGACTGCAAGGTCGGTGATAATTCAAGGTCAGAGGCTACAATTGAAGCCATTGTGAAGTACCACCTGCACTCGTCCAACTTTAAACCCCGAACCAAGAATGTCCACGGCACGACGACGATTATATCAATGGCAGTTCTTCAAGTGCCTCTTTATACTAACTGTTTAACGACTTTAAAAATCAAAACACTTCCATCTTTTGATAACAAACAAATGTGTACAAGCTTAGCGAATTAGTTCTCGTTGCCGTGGAAATGATCCTGAAATTTTACTATGCTGTACAAAATACAACGTGCCAATCTATAGCCGCCAAATACAAATAGTATGTACCTGTTTACAACATGACGTCTCATACCACGCGCTAAATCTTGCTATGTTTTTATTTTATTTTTTTATTTTTAAGTGCTGATAAACCTCGCACCGATTCGTTATCATGTTAACTATAACTATCAGTAAACCTCGCAATGCTTCGTTATCATGTTAACTATAACATTCAGTAAACCTCGCGGTGATTCGTTATCATGTTAACTATAACTGTCGGTAAACCTCGCCGTGATTCGTTATCATGTTGACTATAACTGTCGGTAAACCTCGCGATGATTTTTGTTCATGTTTACTATTACTGTCAGTACACCTCGCGGTGATTTGTGATTATGTTGAATATTACAGTCGATAAACCTCGGGGTGATTTGTTATTGCGTTAACTATTTCTGTCGGTAAAGCTCACGTTGGTTTGTGTCATGTTAACTTTAACTGTCGGTAAACTTCGCAGTGATTCGTTATGATGTTAACTATTACTGTCGATAAACCTCTCGATGATTTGTGGTTATGTTAACTTTAACCGTCGGTAAACCTCGCGGTGAATCGTTATCGTGTAAACTATTACTGTCGGTAAACCTCGCGGTGAATCGTTATCATGTTAACTATAACATTCAGTAAACCTTGATGTGATTTGTTATCATGTTAACGATTACTGTCGATAAATCTAGCAAAGACTCGTTTTCATATTAACTATATTAACTGTCGGTAATCCTTGCGGTGAATCGTTATCATGTTGACTAAAATTGTCGATTAACCTCGCAGTGATTCGTTATTGTGTTAACTATAACTGTCGGTAAACCTCACGATGATTTGTGATTATGTTAACTATACCTGTCGATAAACCTCGCGGTCATTCGTTATCATGTTAACTATAACTGTCGATAAACCTCGCGGTCATTCGTTGTTATGTTAACTATAACTGTGGATAAACCTCGCAATGAATCGTTATCCTGTTAACTATAACTGTCGATAAACCTTGCGGTCATTCGTTATCATGTTAACTATAACTGTCGATAAACCTCGCGGTCATTCGTTGTTATGTTAACTATAACTGTGGATAAACCTCGCAATGAATCGTTATCCTGTTAACTATAACTGTCGGTAAACCTCGCTATGATTCGTTATCATGTTAACTATTACTGTCAGTCAACATCGCAGTGATTCGTTATCATGTTAACTATAACTGTCGGTAAACCTCGCGGTGATTCGTTATCATGTTTACTATTACTGTCGGTAAACCTCACAATGCTTCGTTATCATGTTAACTATAACTGTCGGTAAATCTCGCAAAGATTTGTAATAATGTTAACTATAACTGTCAGTAAACCTCGCGGTGATTCGTTATCATGTAAACTATAACTGTCGGTAAACCTCGCAATGATTTGTTATCATGTTAACTATAACATTCAGTAAACCTCGCGGTGATTCGTTATCATGTTAACTATTACTGTCGATAAACCTTGCAAGGTTTCGTTATCATGTTGACTATAACTGTCGGTAAACCTCGCAATGATTCGTTATCATGTTAACTATAACTGTCGGTAAACCTCGCAATTATTCGTTATCATGTTAACTATAACTGTCGGTAAACCTCGCAATGATTCGTTATCATGTTGCCTTTAACTGTCGATTAACCTCGAGGTGATTCGTTATCATGTTAACTATAACTGTCGGTAATCCTTGCGGTGGTTTGTGATTATGTTAACTATAACTGTCGGTAAACCTCGCGGTGATTCGTTATCATGTTGACTATAACTGTCGGTAAACCTCGCGATGATTTTTGTTCATGTTTACTATTACTGTCAGTACACATCGCGGTGATTTGTGATTATGTTGAATATTACAGTCGATAAACCTCGGGGTGATTCGTTATCGCGTTAACTATTTCTGTCGGTAAAGCTCACGTTGGTTTGTGTCATGTTAACTTTAACTGTAGGTAAACCTCGCAGTGATTCGTTATGATGTTAACTATTACTGTCGATAAACCTCTCGATGATTTGTGGTTATGTTAACTTTAACCGTCGGTAAACCTCGCGGTGAATCTTGATCATGTAAACTATTACTGTCGGTAAACCTCGCGGTGAATCGTTATCGTGTAAACTATTACTGTCGGTAAACC